GCACGACACAGGGAGGAGGTAAATTCTCTGTTTTATAAGAGAGGTTGACCTGGACTGAGCCACCAGGGTGGGATAGAGAGAAGCAAGGGGACAAGGCCAGAGGTGGCAGGCACAGCCTGTTACAAGTGACAAACTTGCCTCAGTGGGGCTCTGGGCTGGAACAAAATTGAGAATGGGCTTCTTACACCACATGGCTGGACAGGGCCTGGGCTGAGTCCGACGGTCACTGTCATTACTAGTTTGTGGAAAACTCCGCACCAGGGACTCACTGATAGCATTTCCTATACACGATTTCATTTAACCATCCCACAAAGAACATTTATTCTACATGCCTTACAGCTGGATGAACTGTCCTCGGACAAACAGTCCCAGCAAGGACAGTCCACGCACTGCCACAGCTGCATCCACAGCATCCCCCCCGTCATCCTCCCTGGGTGACAGGTGCATAAGGAGGTGCAAAGGGATTAAACGGACCACAGCCCAGGCCATCCGAGCAACAGCCAGGGTGCAGCAGAGCTGGAGCTCAAACCCAAAGTGGTGCATCCTCAAAGCCTGTTCCCAAACCCAGCATGGATGGATGTGGAAACCTGGCCTTTCCTGTCCACACAACCAAGTGAAAGATCCCACAGCCCGTGCCCACCCTTCACTTTCACTTTCCAGGGGGAAAAAACTCAGTAATAAGCAGAAGCACAGAGGAACAAAATAACAGTGAAAACGACCAAACAATGCAGAAATCAGAGGAAACCCACACGACTGACAGACACAAAAGTGAGCAACGCATCCCCTGCAATATACGTGTCAATTAACAGGAGAGGATCAGCAATCGAAGCCCACGGGGAGCTCGGGTGGGTGCTGATGAGGCCCTGATGAGCCAGTCCTGTGGCTGGCGTGCTCAGGATTGGCCATTCTTTCATAGGTGTGTGCACAGTAGGAGTTTTGCAAGGTTGCTAAGCAATGGCTGACACAGACTGCAGAGTGGGGCACTCAGTAGGGGTCTTTGGTAACTGGTGAGGCAATCACTTCGGTTCATGCAATCCGAATCATAGATGGCAAGATCTCATGTGACAGGTTCCCTGTAAACTGATCTGAGCCACCCATCGAAACGCAGATCTGGAAGTGGCCATCTTTCCTTTGCAAGAAGTAAAGAAACACTTGTGGTGTCTGAGGCTCAGGCTCCACACATAGTGGCTGGAAACTTACTGCCACATATTGCTCTAGCCCCTGAGCTCTCCAGTGACCTGCAGATTACATACCGAAGACCACTACGACTAAGCCAGAATTTTCCCTTCAGGAGTATGATGCCCAGAGAGGTCTAGCAATCTGTGCAGAGTTGCACAGCACCCCAAAGGCAAGTACACTCCCCCTCAACCCGGGAGAGCACTGTGTTCCCTGGAAAGGCCATGTGGCTATGGTTGGCCCAGAGAGGCCCCATGATTCACCAGCTTGTCCCTGGTCCTCTGAGCTGGCCCCAAGGGCTTGGAGTTCGGCATGCAGGGGCTGGCTGTTTGAGCATCTTGGAAAGTCTCCTACTTGACCCTGGGACCTCTGTGGTCAAGTGAGAGAAAGCCTATGACACGGTCGGTTTTTATTGGACCCAACCACCAGCAAGTTTTGCCGTCATCTGGAGTGATGGAGAAAACTAAGTTACCACATTCTCACATTTCAGCCTCTCGCCCGCTCTCCTTCGCAAACAGGAAATGTTTATTTAAATACAGCAGACTCCACCATGTGCTGGAGCCAAGCGAAAAACCAAAGATGTCCATTCTTGCCCCCATCTGCTGTTCAGGCCACCACCTCGCTGTGGGTGAGCAGCGGGCCTCTGCCTGCCTCTAGGCAGGATGGGAGAAGAGGCCAGTGTGGGAGTCCCTTCTCCTCAGTGGCCTCCTTTTCCAGGCCGAGGCCGCGCTCAGACAGGAATCGCACATCTGTTTACTCTGCTCTCCATGTAAATAAGTCTCCCACAGCAGTCCTGTCCTCAACTCCCTGACCCCTGTCTTTGGTACACAGATAAGAAGTGACACTAAATTGTCCCCTGCATTTATTTAGCTTTCTTGAGGTGTCACCTCTTCATTGAGGGGGGGAAAAATTGTCAGTGGTTTATAAAAGACAAGAGTTGTTTTTTTTCTTTGGGATAGGCTGACATTATGGCAAAGAACTTGGGATTCCAACTCTGATATCAACTTTTGGGGAAGAATTCAGGCCCTGTTCCAGGCCTGAAGCTAAGACCAAATGGACCCATGTCCTCCCTGCTCAGATTTTCTTTCCTTAGTGTCACACCACAAGGTTCCATAGTCAGAGCATCCAGGAACACACACACGGACACACACACACACACGCATGCACGAACACACACCCCTTCATGAAGGGTTCTTTGGGAGGCAGAAAAGCAAGAATGGAGAAGGCTCTTCTTTGTTTTAAAACACAATTTCAACATCTGGGATCAGAAATTAGATTTTCAGAAGGTCCTAAGCATCAGACGGTTGCCCTGGGAAATTTAAGGCTCATCAGAGGAAGTCTCCCTCTCCCATTCTTGAAGCTATGGGGCTGGTGTTCTGCAGAGTCAATGATTCTGAAGAGCCTGGGATGCAGGAGCAGATCAGGGAGTGTTTGTTGAATGAATGAAGGGCAGAATGAGCAAGAAATTCCTCCCTGAAGAAATCCTTAGCTTCAGGGAGAAATGACAACTCTCCCTCTTGTGAGCAGAGTTGAAATATCCCATCTGAGTTCCCTGGGAGTGAGGCTGGGTGGTGAGAGGCTGTGCAGGGACCCCTGCCTCAGTCTGCCCCAAATGTTCCCCCAATCCCAGGAAGGAAGATCAGAGGCAGCCCTGGCAGCCCGGTGGAGCCAGCTGAGACACAGACATTTCAGAGCAGCTCCTACTCTGCTGGTGGCTGGCAGTGACCATGACTGTAGCAGGAACTCCTGGGGATGCCCAGGACTTCAGTCTCCCACCCAGTGTCTCCAGTGGTAGTGTAGATAGGTGGCCCTGAGTGTCGGGCCTCCTGCGGGAGGTGTCATGCTGGGTGCAGTGCTGGGGCTGCAGCTTTTGTAAACTTCCTACACACCAGGCCTCAGCTTCCTAAACTTGCAACATGATTTTAGAGATGCCAAGGCTTGGCCTGGTGACCCTAACACAGCTATGGTCAGAGCAGGCTGAGTGTTTGCAAAAGTAGACTCAAGGCAGAGAGATAAGAGCAGACGGTTCTGAGACCCAAACCCAGCCAAAGCCCTCCAGGAACCATCTACAGATCTTGGATCAAACTGACCCTTACTCCAAGGAGGAGTAAGGGTGTGGGCTTCAGGGCTGACAGGCTTGGGTTCCAACACTGAACTTGCTATATGACCTTGAATACATACACAAGATGGCTTAACTGTGAAACAGAGTAGTAAGTGTTGCCTATGTAACTAACAGGACTGATACAGAGATTCATGGAGATCCCACGTGCACACGATCCGGGCAGGGGAAGTAGTCATTAAACATTAGCCACAGTTATTATTTCACTAACTTGCTGGGGCCACCCAGCATTGGGGTGCAGGGCTTGGAACTTAGGTTATAAGTATCTAAAAATATCACTAAGGGAGTCTTTCACTGATACGGTCTAAAATAAGGCCTGAGTGAAGGCGTGGAAACCTGGTTTCTGGCCCTATACTTCCTGCATGTGTTAATGAAGGTTCCACTCTAACCCTCTAGGATTGCATGGTTCGACCCCACAGAAAGATCAGTGCACTGGAGGGGAGGGGGAAGAAGTCTTTTGAGCCAAAGGAAAGCATCAAAAATGAGGAAGGCATTTCTACTAAGTCTCTGCCCAGAGAGCCACAGACAGTAAGTGGAAAAGGAGGTGGCGATGGTGGGTGACCAACCGGCAGACGCGCCCTAGGACATTCCTTCCATCATCGCCATCCCCCAGCCTGAAGCCAACAAGACCCCAGGAAGATACATGCGCCCACCCCTAAGACACGTGGGGATCAGGAGCAGAGAGAGAGCAAGGCACAGTCTCTCATTCTAGAGCAAGCCCTCGCCCACTCCCGGGCTGCGTTCCCAGGCCGGCTCCCACTCCCTCCACCATGTCTCCCCCTCCTCCACCCGCCCCCAACAGTGGACTTAGAGGAGCCCACCCATCCACCCACCCACCCCAGAGTCCAAGTTTTGAATTTGGTCTGAACATCAAAATGATAAATGTTTCCCAAACGTTGACATATGAAAAGTAAATATTTGGTTACACAATTGGAGTCTAAGCAAGGGTCAATCCACCCCACTCTTCCAAGCGCCTCTCCACCGCTGCCAGGCCCGGGATCCGAGGCTGAGTGCGGTTTGTAAGATTATAGCGCTCGGTCTCATTTAAAGGGCTGTCAGCATTTCCATTCTCTGGCCGTTTGGGGAGGCATTTATAACCGAGCCATAAAAAATTCCGCCGGGCTGTAACTTGGCATTCGCGAGGCTGCGCTCCTGCAGGGAGGCTTCTGCGAGCACCCACTCTGAGTTCGCCCGGTTGTTCAGAAGTTAGACCTTCGTGCGCACCCCAACTTCCCCGCAAGGGCAGCAGAGAGCAGCTGGCCCGTTTTAATCTCCAAGCCAGTTACAGTCTTGGGGCCTCGCTCCGCTCCCCGCACTCTGACGCCCCATCAGCCTGTAGCTTTCTCCTTGGCTCCCTCTTTGAAGAGCACAGACCCTTCACCCTCCACCCCAAGACACCCCAGCCTGATGCGTTCTCTCCTCCCCAGCCTTCTACCAGCATCCTCCTCTCGGGAAGCTGTCAGCGGGCCCAGCGCCGGGGCCCTGACCCCGGAGAGCCACTGCCCTGAGCCCATGGCGGGGGCTCCCTCCACACCTGCCCAAAGCCACAGCCTCGGGGTCTCCGAGGACGCGGGGTCTGGCTGCGGAGAGAGTGCGAGCAGAGGCTGCAGCCCGTGCGGCGGAGGGGAGAGCACGGATCTGGCGCCCGGGGACCCTTGGCGGGGCCCAGGTGGGTGGCCCGCGCGGGGCGGGGCAGGGTACTCACAGGCGCTCGGCGTTGCGGGGGATGCCCCGGGGGACCGCCCGGAGGCCCAGCCCGTGGCAGTCCACGCTGGCGGCGGAGCAGGTACACTTGGTGGGGCAGGCGGCGGCGGGGGGCGCGCTCAGGACGCTCGCCAGAGCCAAGGCCAGCGCCAGGCGGGCGCGCACGGCGGTCCGCGCGGGAGCCATGGTGTGCGGGGCCCGCGGCCGGAGCAGACGGCGTCGGCGGGGCGGGACGCGTGCAGCGGAGGAGGCGCGCGGGGAGCGCGGGCGGCCGGGGAGCGGCGCGGAGTTGGCGCGGAGGAGGGGCGAGCTCTGCGCTCAGGCGCACGGGGCGCGGGCGGCGCGGGGGCGCCGGGCGGCGGCGGCGGCAGCGGCTCCATCGGCGGGGCTGGCGCTGCCCCGCTGCGCATCGCTCGGAGGGCCCAGGTGCCGAGCACGCCCCGGGCTCGCTGGCCGCCGCCCGAGGTGCGGTGCGGCCGGCTCGGGGAGCCGTGGGGCGCGGCGGCCGCCCGGGAGGTCCGGCTTGGGGCTGGACGCGGGAGCGCGGCGGCGGTGGCGGGGCGCGGGGCACGGGCGGCCGGGGGAGCCGGCCGGCGCTCGCTCTCTCATTCACTGAGCCGGGCAGACACCCGAGACGCGGGGCCCGGCCCTCCCGCCCCCCAAAATCGCCAGCTCCGCCTCCCATTGGCTGCGCCGCGCGTCATGTCGACTAAGTTGGGAACTTTGCTGGAGCGACCGAGAGCCGGGGGGAGGACCGGCAGCAGAGGGGGCAGGGAGGGGGCTTGGTCCGCTGAAGCTCATCCACGCTCCCAGGCAAGGCCAGATGAGGCTTGGGGCACTCTTTCTTTTTCAGTTCTGGCACTCAGTCCCAACAGGGCACGCGCTGGAAACGGGCCTCTGAGTCACTCCGCTTTACAGATTAAAAGTCCAGAGCTCAGAGAAGCGAAGTGGTTTCCCTGAGGTCGCACAGCTTCTAGGGAGGCCAAGCTTGTCACTCAGTTTTATGTCCCTACCTCATCTAGTACTTGGTGAAGACCCTCACCTTCTTTCTAGAGGACGTATTGCACTGCGCAGTTACCCAGGTCACCAAAAAATGGTTGTCCACGGGGTTGAGCGCGCTGCTGGCAAATCCTACAGGGAGGAGCCTGTCAGGCTTTGCCAGCTCCCAAGCCTGGTGTACAGGTGATAGTTGTGAAGGCAGGGCTTCCACGTTCCCTGATTGACAACGCCAGGTCAGAGTCCTTTAGCGTCTGCTTCCTGTGAGCCTTTGTTTCCTGGAATCAGGGGGCCACAGTCCTGAAGGGACCCACCTCCCTGAGTTGCCTGGAGCATCAAGGAAGCGAAAGTGATTTTGCAAAACAGCCACTCGCACGCCAGGCCTCCGTCCCTTCTCCCCACAGCGCCCAGCCTCCATTCTGCCAGTGCAGGCTCCAAATTGGCTGTGCTGAGCTTTTCCAGATGCTGGTGGGGAGGGGCGCGTGGTAGAGGCTCCATAAATACTTGTAGAAATGATTTTGTTTGTTTGTCTGAAGGGAAAGGGCAAGGACTGGAGGAAGTATTGCCCAGGCTTCCTTGAGGCCAACTCACACCAGAAAAGTCTGAATGAGCGTTGCTTGTGCACACATTTGCACACACTGTCATTGAGCCCACACGTGGGCTCTTCCACACGTGCACACAACCACATACCCACGTGTGTGCTTGCACACTCACACCCTCGTGCACACAGCTCTTTTACCTGTGCAGTCATGCACTTCCACACACACTGGACGGGAGCAAATGCCTGCTCACACACACAATCACACACACATGCTTACACATATACACAATCACACACGTGCACACACATGCTCATACTATCACATACACGTGCACATGCATGACTTCTTGCACATATTCATGCACAGATGTACACTCACACAGTGCTTGCACACTCACACATACAACCACACACCCTTCCACGTGTGCACGTGCGCTCTCGCACACTCACACATGCACAATCGCGTGTGCAAGTCACACGGGCACGATCGCGTGTGCACGTGCACGCTCGCACACGCATACACGACAGCTGTGCTCCTGAGAACCCCCTTTACTTTCATGCTATTCTGCCTCCTTCCTGGTTTTCCTTCAAGGAAACTTAGCGCCTTGAGTACATCCTGTAAACATACAGCAGAGGTGCAGACTTTATTTTATTATGCTTAGCAGATTTTCAAAGTCTTCGCTCCAGGCACCCAGCGCCCCCACACACACACTCCCAAGCCCAGCATCATTCATAAACCGAGGTGCCGTTTACTGCTGTTATTCTTGGGCACAGCTTTCTGCCCATGTGCTGCTGTCAGCGCCCTCTGGTGGCCAGAGAGGGTCTAGGCTCTGGTCCTCAGGGTGACTTCAGCATTGAAGAACTGTAAACATCCTTTCCCCCTTTTCTCTGGAGCTTTCCTTCAAACCTTGAACCAATTTAGTACCATGGCTGAGGCAGATGAGAGACCGGGCAAGGGCCCAAGGGCACAAATGCTGCTCAGACTGTCTGGAGCAGAGAGAGTAGGGCTGTCTTTGTTTTCCCAAGGCATGCACACTGGAGCCTGTTTGCAACCCCTTCAGCTGGGCCTGGGTCTGAGCTCTGAGGTCTGCGCACAGCGGGGAGGGGGGCTGTGTTTTCCATTTCAGCTGCTGGAGGGTTTGTGAGGCTGGCTAGATCTTTAAGTGACTTCATAGGCAGTCAGAAGTGTGAGTTCCTGGAGAAGCCCCTTGGAACAGATCACAGCTGTCCTTCACAGTCAGTCATCTCTAAGGAAGAGGCAAGTGTGACAGGCAGGAGGTGCGCAACTCATGGGCCACCCAGACCTGTGGATTGGTTGGGCTGGAACAGCCTTAGAAATCACCTAACCCAGCAGTTCTACAAGTGCTGGTGGCAACCCCTGGTTTCTTCTTGTGGGGAAAAGTTTCCTTGCACAAAGGCAAAAGTGCTGTTCACTCCTCCCCTTGGAGCTGGCATCATACAGGGGCCTGTTTAAGCCCATAGAAGTCCTGCAATAAGGAAACCTGTGTTAGGTTTGTTGGAACTGGTTCCCCAGTACGCCTGACCCCTTTTCATGTTAACTACAATTCTGTCGGAACATACTTTGACAATCTCAAATATAATTTCATTCTTACATTTTCCTAACAAGAACACTGAATCTCAGAGAGAATGGACATTTGTGCAAACTTCCCTATGTAATTAGTAAGTAAAGTCAGAGCCAGGACCCAGACTCTATGCTGAGATTGGGGGTCTGTCCCCTTCCCTGCCCAATTCTGGGGCATCTTCAGAGTTTGCCAGCCTCCTCATGGAAGAATTAGTCTTGCTGGAGAAGTCCTTAGGAGGTCACAAGGTTGGGTAGAGTTTTCTATGACCATGTGCCAAAGATAACTTTCTACTCTGTGGTGTGATTGTCAGAGTTCCACAAAAGCCTCCCAGCCAACTTTGAGATTTTTCTCCTTTTCCATAGTCTACTCATTCCCCCAAAGAAAATCCGCCTCGAGCTTTCTCCTCCTCCTGTTTTCTGTCTCTCTGTATCAGGTACTACCATTTGTGTGGCTACCATAACAGCTGAGAGTTTCTGATTGCAAGCAATAGAAAATAAATGTAGCTCATTGAAGATAAACACACAAGCAAAGATGTTTCGATGAGGCTGTGAGTAGCAAAAGAATCTAAGGAGAACATTGACGAAGGAAACTTCAAAGAAAAAAGACTAGACCCAAGGTAGGACCTAGGTGCCTGTCCAAGATTTCTAAATGCCAAGGAAGGAGCCCCAAGTGGACTGGCTTGGATCACACAATCACTCTTTTGGCAAGAGAAGACAACACGTGATGAGTGACAGTTCCATGGCAACTGCACTTGTTGGGAGGCTGTGAGCTGAAAACGTGGGGAGGAGTGTTGAGAAGGCACCCATGGCGGGGCAGCGATGCCCTGCTCTCACAGCACAGCCATGTACCTTCCAGCGTCCTGTTTGTTCTTGCACCTGGCCGCTCTTCATCTGGGGTTCTCCTGCCATTGTCCAGATCCCAGCTGCATGCATGGCTATTGCTCACTCTTCACACGTGGCTATCTTCTTCTCTTTTTGCTCTGCCAGTCCATCTTCACCCTAATGATGCAGGGATCTTTGTAAAATTCAGGTCTAACAATGCAACCTTGAGCTTGGGAGTGGATTTCTGCTGTCCCAGCTCATCTCTGAGCCTAGCACTAACACCCACTCATTCCCTCTCCCAGAGCTTCCTTCTCTACTCTCCTATCTTCTGACTCTAGCTGAGGTTCAGTGCAGCTCCCACTTCTTAAGGCATGGTCTAGACCATGAGATTTTGTTTTTAAAGCAAAAGATTTTTTTTATTGAGGCACAAAATGATTAACAACTGTGGAGAGGAAGATTCAGTTAGAGACCAATGAGCACTGTGCAAGGGAAGGAGGACTTGGGCTTCTGTACCAAGGAGAAGTGGCCATGTGCAAGTGAGCATGCTTTAGGGAGATGAGCAGAACTGTGGGAAGACCTCAAGTTGGAAGCTAAAGCAAACCAGAGTGCCTATAATTATCTAAGGCCATTGAAATGTCCAGGTCAGGAGGCAAACGGGTCACTCTGGTTTTTCTTAAATTTTGCAAGGTATTGTTGGATTCCAGAACACTGTTCCTTCTGGCAGACTCCATTCCCAACATGATGTCTGCCTGGCAATCTACCCGTCAGCAAATCTCTAAGGCTCGGAAAAGGGTCTTTGCTGTCCTGTTGACCAACAGGTTTTGCTGATGCATTTTCCTAGAGATTTTTGCTGTAAGCAAGGGGAAATGATAGACTGCCTTTTGTCCTATCTTGCCTGGAAAATGAACTCAGTTTCCACTTTTATTCAGCTCAAAATGTTCTCTGATTTCCTCTGATCCAACCTTCAAATTCTTGAGGACAGTGAACTGTATAATCTAAAAATTTTCAAAAACACATAGACGTCCAGTCCATTTTTGTATGCTTAATGCCTACAGGTGTGAATCAACCTCTGAGGATTGATAAACGAATGACCTTCCCAATTGGTTAGCTCATTTGACATTCTGCTCTTGCAGTTTTATTTATTGTGTTC